ACTTCGAAAGTTGACAGTAAAGTCGGCTAGAGATGACCGGCAGAAGTATTGGGCCGAAACGGCGACTTATATGGAGCAGGCTTCAAATGTCGGTAACATTGGAAAATGTTACCAAATCATCCGCCAGGTTAGTGGTAAGCTCTCGACTTTCTGTGATTCTGTTCGCGATGTGAATGGAGGTTTTATTGCTGACAACTCGGCCAAGGTCGATCGATGGCATGAACACTTCGAGTACCTTCTCAACTTTTATGAACAACCCATTACAATCTCCATCTTCACAGCGGAGTTTCCAGCCTCCCTAGCCTACACAGTGTCCTGTGACCTCCCTTCTGAAGACGAAGTTACGGATGCAATTCAGAGGCTGCGCAACAACAAGGCGTACGGAGAAGTTAGTATTCTTGCAGAAATCTACAAGTCCTGTGTCGACACCCTGTCCCTCGGCTTCATGAGGTGATTGCACAAGCGTGGCGAGAAGAGGCCGTTCCCGATTACTGGGGCTCAGGCATTCTTGTTCCTATCCACACTTAAGGGAGATAAGAAAAGTTGCGAGAACTACCACGACATAAGTCTTATCTACGTTGCTGCAAAGATCTTCGCTATTGTCCTTCTCAGGTACTTCCAGTCTGTACGTGACTCCAGGACACGGCCCAACCAAGCCGGATTCCGCACCGGGCGTGGATGTGCGGATCAGATATTTAAACTGAGACGCATTCTAGAATTCCGCCATAGATACCAGCAACCTACGGCCGTTTGCTTTGTCGACTTTGCAGTTGCATTCGACTCCGTCCATCACGAGTCTCTGTGGCGAATAATGGAACCAGATGGAGTGTCGGCCAAACTCATTGCCATGATTGAGACCTACTATCGGTCTACCACCGCACGAGTTCTGGTCCACAAAAATCTCTCTCGATCGTTCGATATCTGGTCTGGTGTCCAACAGGGCTGCGTCCTTTCGCCCATTCTGTTTAACTACTTCATTGGCTGGATTCTTGGCAAGACCATACATGATTAGGACGGTGTTGAGCTTGCACTCGGACGCCGGCCAACTGATATTGACTACGCGGATGATATTGCGCTGCTAGCCTCAAGCTTTGGTAGTCTACAGTCGATAGTGTCGCGGTTAAATGAGCTCGTTATGTCTGCTGGCATGTCCGTAATTCTGGAAAGATGAAGTTATTCTCGAGCTGCATCCCTGACCAGGAGAAGGCATCCTTGGGGATAAATGGCCAGCAAGTTGAAGAAGTAGACGGCTATAAATACCTCGGAGCGAGGCTGCTACCGAATGGGCAGAGCAAGGAAAATGTTGTCTCCCGTATCGATGCTGCTCGCTGGGTTTTCTCAATCCTTCGAAAGC